AAATGAAAATCCCTCCTGGAGTAACTTCAACAATTACATTATAATTATTATCTTCTCCAAACTGTTGCAGTTGTTTGGTTTACATAAATACCATCTGACATGCTGATAACCATCTGACATACACTTGGCATTCCACGTCACATTCACAATTAATGTATGTTTGTGTGTGAGATGGCAAACAGAAACAAAAGCACTGAGAAATAAACAACTTGCAATGCAATGTCTAATGTTATTTGGTATTTCAATCCCCACAAACCACCTCCATTATCATCGGCCCAGAGACAGAACGGAGGTAAAAGTATTTAGATTTCAGGTTGATTTGGAAAATAGAGAAAAATGTCCTGGAAGCTTGGTGCAATATTGTGATTTGGCTTCACGGCAAGCTAAAATTGCTTATGATGTTAAAGAAAGAGAAATGGATCATTCTTCTATTGACAGTGTAAATAGTATAAGAATGGCACATTGTTCACAGCCGTCATGAATCCAATTATTGAGGTACATATCAAGATTTAATTTGCACTTAATGAAGTGGGATTTTTTGCTGATCATAATGAAATTGCCCTGACATCATCCTCAAGAATAGATCCTTGCATTTGCCCCCTAATAGACTGATGTTTGTGAGTTACCAATTTATAAATCTCTGTTAAGTGAAAGAGATTGTAGATGGTAGTTTTGTCATTTATAATGGGATTTTTTTTGCAGGACACAGAATACCATGTCTCGCAAGGGACATCTATCTGACCAATCAGCAGAGTTGGGTGTAACGCGTTACTGTAATAATATTACTTTTGTCGGTAACGGAGTAGTGTAACGCGTTACTTTTATAATTCAGTAATCACACTACAGTTACTAACATTGCCCCGACACGCGTTACTTCGTTACTTTTATAAAATCAGTCATAATCACACTGACAGACAAGAGGGGTTTCCGCCGCAGGTTTATATGTACGTAATCTGCGCGACTTGCGCGTCCACATCTCCACGTTCAGTGCTGCATAAACATGGCAGAGTCAGCGATAACTTTCGAGGGGTGGAGGTATGCCCATTATTTTGAGTTCGTCCGAAGAATAGACAGGAATGTGACGGTGAGGTGCAAACTGTGTCCAGGCCAGAAGCTGTTATACACTGCTGCAAACACCACGTCAAACCTCAACAAACACCTGCAAAGAACACATGCTAAGGTGAAGCTAATAGCTAAGGACCGGACCCCCGAACCCAGAGTGAGGATGTTGTGAGTCGCCGCCGCCGACTCCGAAGCGGCACAAATTAGAATTTGGAGGACCGGTAACCAAAGCAGAGATGGACAGGCTTGTAGCATCCTTCATAGTAGAGGTAATGTTGCCCATTTGCACAGTGGAATCACCATCGCATCGTTCAGAGATATACTGCGCAAAATACAGATAGCAGGAGACAGAGGACAGCCATAGTCAGAGCTATCTGGATCAGTCTTATGCGACAATGGAAACTGAACTAAAGAGAACATTTGAAACTTTAGCAGTCTGCGTGATCTGCCTGCAGGGAGGGGCGGGCCGGCCCTGCGAGTAAAGTAACGAGTAAAGTAACGAGTAAAGTAACGAGTAAAGTAACGAGTTACTTTATGTAGAGAGTAACGAAGTAGTGTAATATATTACTTTTTTAAAAAGTAATATGTAATATGTAATATATTACTTTTTTTTAGTAACGACCCCATCTCTGCCAATCAGTCTGCAGCGTTTTAACTACAACTTCTAAAAGTGATACTTCTTTAGAACCCTGACAGAGGTGAAAAATAATAAGGTATTATATCCACAACTTTCACAATTAGAAATCCCCAAAAATGAACGGTGCCAAGCAAGTTGAGTGGATTGGTACTCTACCATGCGGTGGAAATGCTGCATACCTCTGTCTGGAGTTGCAGGTAGCCCACAATGCTTTGGCCTACTGCTAGTCTATGACCTCTGCATTCAAGCTCAATGTTGTTCAGCTAACAGCGGAGAATGCTAATCTCTCAGCTGCTCAGTCTCATGCTCAGCCACACACACGCACACACACATGCACACAGAGGCCCAGACACTGGTTCACACAGCAGGGTTGTGTAAGCCTCTGGTGTGTGTGGTTTATGTGACTCTCTGCTGTAATAAGGGGCATACATGTTGCGTCTTTATCTTTTTGTTCCTATCTGGAGGCTAATCTCTGTCTGCATCCTGTTCCTTCTCTTTGGCTTCCCTTTTCCTTTCTTTATCTATATCTCTTCCACTCTTTCTGTCCTGTTCCAGCCCTCAGTCTCTTATTTTTTCTCTTCATCTGCAGAGATCCAACAAAGCTTTTAGCATTCCCACTGTTCCTGCTTACATTCGCTGATCGGCACACGCAGTGGAAAACTGCCTTCAGTGCCATCTGATGCTCAGCACTCACAGACTCCCAAAACACCCAGGGAAAAGTAACTTATAACAAATCTATTTTACATTTGGCCTTTCTCGCATCCAATCATTAAAGGAATTCTTTTTTGTTCTTTCTTTAAGGCATAAGTCACACTGTTCTTTGCAGTATTTGAGTGCAATTATAAAGAAGTTATTGGACAGTACTCTCTGGATTTAAACACTAGCAGACTTATATTTATTGTGACTGAATGCAGTGTGTGCAAAGGCGGTTGCAGAGACGAGATAACGCCACAAAAGAGTTAATGTTTTCAAATCATGTCCAAATGTGTCTTATGATATTTAGCTATTTATTGTTCATTGTTTACACAGTTGCCCTGAGTAACCCCTCTCCAGTATGCATGTTACTCAGGGACACATCAGTAGTCACCAAGTCCCTAATAAAACTGTCATTTCTTAGAGTGCAGTGGAGAACAGGACAAGGGGAGGACTATGAGAGGAGGCTTTTCCTCATTAGCTTCTATTTGATTTGTCCACTGTCGTATAACATGTTGTACCCATTTGATCTGTAAAACTGTTCTGAATTAATTCTTCAGTAACGTAAGTATCTTTTTCCTTCCCAAATGACAGCGAATAACTGGTAACAGTTGTAAATCTTATATTGTTTACCGTCCCAAAGGCTGTCTTATTTACTGTTTTTGGTCAATTTGATATAAGCTTTTTTCCAGCTTAAGTGATATACTGCAGACTTGCATGTTTCTGAGTTGTTCCCTGACAGCTTTTGCACTGGGGCCACTGGCAGATGCCCTTTACTGCCTGCAAGCTTGTTGGACTAACACATTGATTTTGCTTAACATTGTCTATCTTGAATTGTTTAATGTATATAAAATTAAATCCAGGGGATAACTGCGGGTAAATCTTGCAGGAGTTGGTTGAGTTTGCCTCAAATAATCAAAGATCAAACTCCTGCTTTTTACAAAATCGGTTAAAAATTGGCAATTTCCTGCATTCTTTTATCAGATTATTCAGCTTTTCTGCTAAACATTAGACTTTGAGACGAGATACAGACAGAGAACAGATGACTTCCTGCATTACTCAAATACAAAAACCACAAATTCACAATTACATGGTATGAACCTCAGACCACAAGGCCACTAAAACCCAGCGTCCCACTCCACACGCATCCTGTATAAATGCCTTTGGCCTGCCACTTTATAGTCTTAAGTCATTGTAACAGATAACAACACAGATAACAAAACACAATACTACATTTGGCAAACATGGAACCGAAGAGAAAAGTTTTCTTCAACATTTCACAGTAGCTTTAGATAGATCTTTACATTTTCACAAAGAGATAAGATCTGTCCGGCAACACGAGTCCAGCCAATCACAGATAAAGGAGAACATAGCTCCTAATAGGTAAATTAGAGCATTTTGTCCCCTCTGTCCTCTCCATGCTCTCCTGTCCTCTCTCTCACACCCCTTCCTATAATCTGTTTCCTTCCCTTGTCCATTCCTTCCTTCCTCACTCTTTCCTCTAGTTCCTTTTTTCCTTTCCCTACTACTTCATCAAATATGACTCCAGTCTAATGTCCAGAGTCCTTTTTCTTTCCATCTCTCTCCTCTTGCCTCCCCTGCACCCCCTTCTTCTGTCTCTCTCTGCAGCCTGCCCTGGTTTCAATGACAAACTGCAGGCGGTGAGGGGGAGTAAATGCTGTAGCATTGCACAGCAAACATCCCTAATAGGCTAATCTAATCTCATCTCTTTGCGGTCTATGGGCCTGTGTTTACTTTCGGCCCCGTGTCTGCACGCTGGCTCGGCCTCGCCTCGCTGAATGCTGCTTTGTTCCCGCTGAAAACTCATCATTGGTGTGATCTCGGGAGCGGGCGCTAGCACGGGGAGCGTCTGCCCATTAAGCCTGCAGGCTGGGTTTTGTTCTCATCTATGTACAGCTTCTGTAGCTGTTTGTTTTAGTTTCAATTAAAGAAACAAAGTAGCATGCCAAGTAACGAGGATACTGCTCTGTGAGTGACCCTGACTACTGAACTCCCCTGTGGGGCTTTTCAATTTAGAATAGAAATACTGAATTGTACCACACAGCCAACAAGGTAGCATCTTTGCTAAATAAGCAGGATGTAGAAAACCACACTACAAATCTGAAAGTCCCAGGCGGGTGCAAGAATACTTGACAGTGACTGAATAACCAGCCGAAGTCAAAGGTTCACTGACTATCCAAAGAGCAAAGGCATTCATTGAGTAAAGTTCAACCAAGGACAAATATCTGCAGATATTCCAATATCTGAGCAAATTATCAGTGCAGAAAGACCCAATGTATATAAATGCTTAAAAAGCACAATGTTTTACAAAGCATACTATCAACGTCCAGGTGACGGAAAGAGGAAAAAGACAGAGGAGAGGGTTCACTCCTGCTACCGTCCTCCTGACGTTAGAACAGCAGTGTGACAGCAAGAATGCAAAAATAGTAAATTTAACTACGGAAAAATGACTCCGGCTGAACCTTTGGAAGACCCTTTTACAAGTGCCGCCACTGAGTCATGTCAGCGGCCGTGATTTATCTTACTGCTGGCATGGATGACTGTAATGCTCCGAGTGTCAGTGGAAATCAGGGCTTCTGTTACTCACCCCTGGCAGCAGCGGACGTCAGAAACACCTCCAGCAGCAGAAAGACCCAGAGAAGATCCATTTAGGTTTAATTTTCAGGAAGAACGATCAGCTTCTTTAAATAAAAAGGAAATGAAGTTTCTTGAAGTTGCATTTTGAAAAGATTACAGGTGATATATCTTTATTAAGGAGATACTGAGTAATTAGTAGAACATGCATTTTAATCTTCAGATTACAGTAAATCAAAACTGCAAGAGTCTATTCATTTCTAAAAAATCTACGAGCCAAGCTTATTATTTCACTATCTAATGAGTTGCTTACTTTATGACAAAATAGCTGCTGTGGCAAGGAATACAAACTTCCAATTGACTCATAGCTGGTGAGCATTATTGTGAAAAACTGCCTTAAAGTTCAGACAATAACTAGGAGCATCTTTGTAGAAAATAATTCCTCAATAAAGGAAAGTCATCAAATAGGCTTTTTTTCCTAAACCAAACTGAGAGATATGTGTGTGTTTCATTCCTATATCCAGATGTTTTAAAATCTCCCTAAGTATTCTCAAAGTTAGACGTTTAATAGGAGATAAAGGAATACACACACTCACTCCCAAAATGTTTCAACTTCATCTCCTCTATTCATTCATATTGCCTTTTGCCTTCTAAACCTTATCTGGGTCTACAAGAGTTCACAGTAGTCAGACTAGAATAAGTTGTCCATCATCTGGCTGAACACCGCTACAAATCCATCATAATGCTAGGGCACAGGAGCACATTTTTTTCTCGAAGTCAAACTATTTTCCTTAGAGATTTATTCGGTCCACCTGTCCACATGTCTCTCCTTACAGTGGTTTTAATCTCTCCGCCACATAAATTCTTCTCTGAACCTTATGAGATCTTATTTCAGTTCTTCGCATGTTGTATCTTTGATCAGCATCTGTCAAACTCAGCGTCTCAGTTCCCCAGAAAAACTGCTGCACACTTATAAGTGCTGGATAATTGATTTGATTTGTGGCTATCAAAGAGCAGATTTCCACCCTACCAAAGTCAGGTTTAGTCGTGTTTTCAAGTGAATAAGTATACTTATCTAACTGGATGAACAATCTTTATTCCCAAAATGTCCAATAAAAATCAAAGAAAGCAAGTGGTTTCATATTAAATAGTTAATGGTGCTTTAAAAGAAGGTGAGCCCAAAACCTGTGATTGCTTGCATTATGATGATCTGGATTGGCGATATAATTAATTTAAATGTATCACTGTTAGAAATCATTAATGTATGCCAATTAATTAAAACCTAGATCATAAACCCATCCATTCACCTGCATTATGGCATGTTCAATTTCCCTTTTTAAAACATATTGTATTGTGTGAAAGTACTGTAAGTACTTAATACATGTAGAAATAAATGGTGCATATGTGCTGTACTATGTTATAACTGTTCTAAAGAGATATTGCAAAATGAAAGCCGCTATAAGTTAATTATTATCATTATTATATTGAAATAAGTAAATTAAACTCTATAGACGTTTACTGTTAGTGGGCAAAACAAGTCTCAGTAACCTACATTGTAGAATAAAGACCAAAATAAACATGAAAGTTTGTACTCACTCTAAAGAGCAACAATTATGCATTATGACATCAGTATACATGATATTAATGGGACTTGGTTTGTAAATAAAGGCATATAATACTTACTTTAAAAAGTGACGAGATCTCCACAGTGTTACCCTCTGATGACCTGCACGTATATCATGCCGAGCAGTCCTTCACCTCCTCTCCAATGAGTTTATGACTGCGATATCTTAATCCGCTTTTCAAACCCAGAATAAAATACAAACGTAGGTAGACGCCTGCCACCGAAACGCCAACAAGTTTTGAATGAAGTCGACTTTGACAAAGTGTGCACAGTAAGCTGTGGCTCCGAGAGCGAAAATGCGAGTTAATATAGAAAAATATATCTCAAATGCAAGCTAAAGTCAAACACGTGAGGCTGTAGTATTTCTGACAGTCCGCATGTAAACTGTTCCGAGGAACACCCCTCATAGAGCCGGGAAAAGACGGAGAGCAAAAGAGAAAAAATACCAAACTTTATCTACTTTTTCCGCCGGTTTGAATGACCGTTCACACACCTATCTATAAAATGAAATCCTGAATACAATATCCACATTGCCTTCAGCAGCGGCTCACGGTCCAAACTTCAGCCGCAGGCGAGAAAACAAACTGCGTCGACTGACTGTCCGAGAACGGAACTTTCAGCCAATCATCGAGCAGACCAATCAGAGCGCGGACCAATCAGCGAGCAGGAACTCGCTGGACAAATTTGGAGCGGTTTAGGGGGAGAGGAGGGGGCAATAACACAAATAAATGTTAATCGTGTTATTATCCTAATTTAGTAGATCACCTGCCTTGATTAATTGTTATATTACTTCATTACTTGTATATAACATAAATAAGAATGATTGTTATTAGCAGTAATCATAGTAGTAGTGGTGGTATATAAAAACGTTATAATTTAGAACTTTTCCCATTTAAAAAAAGAAAATCTGTTTTATTAGATTAGTCATCCAATCAAATAGTCATTCAGGTAGTTTTCCATGCCAAAATGTCATACAATAATATCGAAATGTTTCTGCTCTGCTATATTTATTTATTTTGGAGATTGTATCATATCATTTTAAACTGCATATCTTTAGGTTTTGGAGACTGAAACAACAATAAATTAAAATACATTACCATTGACTTTGACAAACTGGGATGACTTTTAATACTGTTTTTTGACATTTTAATAGACCAACAATTGATCAATTATCTGAAATTAAAAAATTGTGAGTTGCAGCCCTATTCTTTTCTATTCAATTCATGAAGTATAGTGCATGTACAGTAACATGGTCCATTAGTGCTCGCTCTTAGCAACATTATGGACTTACACTGCCCCCTTCCGGCATGTGAGGGTTATTACAGCATTATGCTAACAAGCTTTGACAACGAACATGTTTCCTAATAATGAAAACACTCATGCACGTGTTTCCTTTATCATCAATGATTGACAGGCAGGGGACCTGTGTTTTGTCCTGTTAGTACACATTAGTAGCCTAATCAAAAAGGTGTGCCACATTATAATTGTATTATAACTAAATGTTACCACTGACTGAGATATTGGAACTGTATTACTGGTTTTGTGTCATTCAAACGTTAATTCATTGATTGTCTCTAAATGAAATGTGGATGTAAACAAACTGTCCTCAGCCAGTCTGTGAACCTGAAGAGTTTGTTTGTCAACTATCCAACCTTTAACTAACTTCACCGCCATGACCAACTTTACCAAGTTTACCTTGTTCTGCTGCTTTCATTATTGGTAACCCTGTCGGAATATGCTTCACATCCTGAAACCAGTTTGTTTCTGGAGAACCTTGCACTCGACGTGTAATCAGATTATTTTTTTACCAGAGGTTTGGTTCATTGGATTATCTCGCAGCTGCTTGGCATCATATACATTGGCACCGACGTGTTTAAAACCATAGGTTTAAACTCGATAATTTTTTCTTCAGAAAGCATATTTTCAATTGTTTGCTCAAGACGTTAAACCACGGTGTCCACGTGAACAGCAGTTACAGTTTTCCTAAAATAAATTCGAACGCCTGCCAGAAAGGAGAACTAAATAATGTCTACAGTATTTAGCAGACGGCCAATCAAATCGCAGCACGGCAACAGCCAATCAGCTTCGGGAATACACAATGTGGTTTTCTCACCATCGCGGTAGTTCAAATTGCAAATCTCCATAATATCTTTGGTACTAATTAAAACACCATATTTGAACCGTTCCAGCGATTGATTTTAAATCGTAGAATATTATTTTCATCATAAGCAAGACGTTTTTTAATGTTATGAATTAATCCAGAAACATTTTTAAAGTTACTCAAAAAACTTTATTTTGCTGTTGCCAGCAAGTAGTGCTTTGCGCCCCCAAAACCTTCTAAATTAGGGGTGAAACTATGGAAGCCTGTTTGCGCCACAGGAAAAATAAATACAAATCCTGTAAATCAATATATTGACTTAGCTATCTCAATATATTGACTTAGCTATCTCAATATATTGACTTACATGTACTATCTCAATATATTGACTTAGATATCTCAATATATTGACTTACTATCTCAATATATTGACTTAGCTATCTCAATATATTGACTTACTATCTCAATATATTGACTTAGCTATCTCAATATATTGACTTACTATCTCAATATATTGACTTACTATCTCAATATATTGACTTAGCTATCTCAATATATTTACTTAGCTATCTCAATATATTGACTTAGCTATCTCAATATATTGACTTACAGTAGCTATCTCAATATATTGACTTAGCTATCTCAATATATTGACTTAGCTATCTCAATATATTGAGTTATATATATATTTTTTAATTGAAACAATTATGTCAAATACAGAATAAGGCACATAGAACATCAATGTTCATCATATAAGCGGTACAACTTCATATTAAGGTACACAAATTCACCATCAACTAGTTGTTAATTAACATGCATATTAGCAGTATATTGGCTCTTTATTAGTCATTATAAAACACTTATTAATGCCTTATTCTACATGACCATATTCTACAAGTAATCTGTGTATGTTACACTTGCATGTATGAGATCATTAAGTGCCTTGTAACTTCTTTTTTTATAGTTTCACTCCATTTGAATGTCAGTGGACTGCAAATAAGTCAATAAAGGAGCATGGCTGCTCATTCCCTGGCTCTCAAAAGAGTTTGGCTGGTTGTTTAATCTGTTCACACTGAGACAGTACAACAAATAGAGAGAACAGTACACCTATTGTGTAATTACATACAAGCAGGTCACACAGTATGATCACAAATACATAAACTCTGTTAAAAATCAGTTTTATTAAAAAGTTCAGGCTGCATATGTTCTCAGCCTTGGAGAAACTTGACATGTTTTGGTACATGTGTCTGAACCGCTCTTTAGTGGTTCATTAATAAAACAGATATTTCAACATGTGCCTACTTTGTTCATGTACTGTTGAGGTTAATTTCAGTAGTTGTGTGCTATAATGTATTTACAAAGTGTGAAGAGGAGGCAACTTTAGAATAGGGAACCTGTTCAGGTCAATTAGAGTCAAATTACTAGCTTTTTGGTTATGAACAAGACTTCACTTTAAAATAGGGAACATATTCTCAGATAGAAATACCTAATTTTGAGTTATTTAGACATATTGAGGAGAGCATATTAAGACCAAAGCTCATGTACAACAACTTCCTTACTTGCAATAAATAAGGACTAATTAGAGGGTTATTGAGGAAAAACTCTCAACTAATGGCCTATTACTTGTAGAATATGGTCATGTAGAATAAGGCATTAATAAGTGTTTTATAATGACTAATAAAGAGCCAATATACTGCTAATATGGATGTTAATTAACAACTAGTTGATGGTTAATTTGTGTACCTTAATATAAAGTTGTACCGCTTATATGATGAACATTGATGTCTGTGTGCCTTATTCTGTATTTGTATTTTATTTAAAACATTTTTTTTTCCTGTGGCGCAAACAGGCTTCCATATAAAACACTGACTTATCCCATCCACACATATCTAAAATCACAGGTGTTTACTTTGCCCAGGTAAATATAAAGACGTCTTGACTCTTGTCAAATCTCCTGGAACTCATTCAGTGTCAGCAAAACAGTGTGGGCCTACATCATTTTGCTGGCTTGTTGAGTTGTTTGCAGGCAGCAGGTTTGATAGTGGCGATATGGTAAACATACATGTTGAAACATACAGAAGATACATAATATAATGCAATAAATGAATAAAACCACAAATTATTGAATCCAATTGAGAATTCAGTGCAATATTACCTGGTTTAATTCCATGTCTATTCCAGTAGATGGTAGCACAGGACTGTATAACTGTCAAGGGATAAAATAATACACACTTGCACACACATGCAGTATTTTATGTTTTCAGAGCGGCTTTAATTGAAGGAACCTGCTTTTTCTTCTCAAATCATCATGACAGATGTTGGTAATATGGTTGAGTATGCTCCATTGAAATCCATGCACTGTGACAGGCAGTAGGCTGGAACTACATCTCTTTGTGTGTGTGTGTGTGTGTGTGTGTGTGTGTGTGTGTGTGTGTGTGTGTGTGTGTGTGTGTGTGTGTGTGTGTGTGTGTGTGTGTGTGTGTGTGTGTGTGTGAGAGAGAGAGAGAGCGAGAGAGAGAAAGAGAGAGTCTTTTTTTATACCTTAAGAGACATCATGTGTTTAATAATGTATTCAAAAGCTCTGTCCAACTACAAACTATTACACATTCAAAAAAATACTGTAAAGCATAATGGTTTTCAACTAATTATCTGAAATGCTCTAGATTATTTTTATTTTGTCATTAACTTGTGCTATACTTTCAGCTCTTTCCTGCCTCAAAGAAACTGTCTAGAAGCCAGAAGTCAATTTGTTTTCTAGAAGCAGAGACTAAGTGAGAGAAGTGGTCAGCCAGCGGTGATGGAAGAACATGACCATAACTCAACTTCTGCAGAATATCCCCTGTTGACAGCAGATTACGTACCGACTTTCTTCCATGTTCTGACTATTACTGCAACCTTTGTCATACTGCTGCTGGGAATCTGTCATTTCAGATCAAAACAATTACAACTGGCTTTAACATATGTTTTTTCTTTTTTTAATGGGTTTAGGGTTTTTTATTGAAACTGTGAAGTTTTAGGATTGAACACTTCTGTATTCCTCACACCCCTACATTTTGTGTATAGGGTTTTTAAGATGGGTAGTCTTTAGGGTCAAGCTAAGAGTGCTTTAAAGGGATAATTTGAAGAGGGTTGGTATAACTTAACTCTAGTCGGTGTATGACCTACAGTAGATGGTGATCAGCAATTCCTCAGTATGGAGTAACACACAGGAGTTACAACACGAAGCAAAGCAATGACACGTCAAGGAGAAAAGCAATGAACTGCTGTTACACGCTCATACCAGCCCTGTTGCACCAATACGCCATCCAGTGTTCAAAATAATAAGCAACAACAGATATTCAATGTTTTAGTTATTTTGAGCTTGTTTTTTCAATTGTTGTTCAGAATGATAAACTACATTAAACTTTAAAT